TATTTAAACCATTGACGGCCAATATCATCGAAACCTTACGCTCCCTAGGGCGAATGATCGGATTTGGTGTTACTCCTCTTCTTGCCTGGGAAACATGTATAAATTAAATGGACTTCATCAATAAAAACAATATTTAGATAGCGATTAATAGACGAGATTGAAGCATACCACCTAACATATTCAATACGAAGATTTTTTAGATTGTCGTTTCTTCTTTCATAAGTTGGTCGAGTAATTTTTTATGTGTATCCAAGATTGGTCACCCATCTCCTGACAGTTTTAATCAATACATTTACATTTAAAGCATATTTAATTTCAATTGTAGTTGTCGTTGTATTATCGTTTATAAGCTCTACAATTCTTCTTATAATCTATTATAAATAGAATGTTTAGATTGCGCATGCGTTAAATGTTTTAAGATCGTTTTAATTGAAAATCACATTGTTTTAATTGATTGTCGCGGTGTTTTAAATGAATGTCATGGTTGTTTTAAATAGTTGTCATGATTGTTTTAAATGGATGTAAAAACCGGTAAATTCTTGCCATAATTATAACTTGAAAAAAAAAAAGATTTGTTTTCAAAGTTACCCCGCTATTCAAAGTAACCCCGCTATTCAAAGTTTACGGTACTTATAATAAAAAAATAATAATGTAGCAAAAAAGATTTTTAAAATTTGAAATAAAATGGTAAAGTTTTCTCATTTTATAGATATATTATGCGCGATTATCTCTATATAATGCATGCAAACTCAGCATATGCTAAAGACGTTTACACTTACAAACGCTTGTATGTAAATGGATCTAAGAAGATCTTAGACCACTAAAATATAGTGATAAAAAAAAGTGCATTCTAATGATTATTATTAAAAACTAAAGAATAATATAGCCTTCGCGATTAAACGATAATCAAAAATGTTTTGCGCAAAATAAGCGCAAAACATTTTTGATTATCGTTTAATCGCGAAGGTTTGTGGCAAATAAGCCTTTATGCGTCAAGTTTTCTTTTGCATCTTACATTTTTTGAATAATTTTAATTGTTGCATACAATTGCATAAAAATGTATAAAACCGGTACAGATATATAATTTCTCGGATAAGAGATGGTATTTATTACAATAGTAATAAATAAATAATTTTTGTCTTTATTAAAATATATCGCATAAAAAATATATTCCATCTATCTATAATATATAGAATATGGGATATATATATGTTCTAAATTTGTACTAACTTGCGTTAATGTAATCTCATTGCGCTTTTCATGTGTTACATCTCGAATTAGATAAGGAAACATCTGTTTATGATCACCTACAAAAAAAGTGTAGGAGGTGGAGTTTTTTTAAAAAACTGAAATCACTATTTCTTCACAAAAAGAGTTACAAATGATTGGAATTCTCTTCCTCAATGGATAATAGATAAAGATAATTTAAACCTTTTTAAAAACAGCATTGATAAATATTTTGTTTTTGAACACAATATTTTGTAATCGGCTGTCTTAGTCTAAATTCTACGTAATTAAGACTCAACACACCTTAAGCGTTTACAGCATCTTTTCTATTCTTCTATTCTAAATCAAATTTTTTCTTGTTTGTTTTTCTAGTTTTTTTACCACAAAGTGACGTCACCTACGCAAATAAATTGTGGCTTCTACGATTTACGAAAAAGCCTCGTTTATCGTTTTTAACGGTCTAAGAAGCAGATAACGTAATTTAAGCAATCAGAAATTATCAAGAGAGGGGCAAATCTAAAATTGAAGTTTCGAATTTTCCACTTCAATGAGACAATATGTCTTGTGTTATTTCATTCTTGTCAATTTTTTTAAATACAATTAACATACATACAAAAAATCAAAACAAACAGCTTGACCGTAGTTATTAGAAAAGTTTATATTACATACGATCCTGAATAAAACGTTATATAAGTGAATATTTTACATTTTATAAACAATATACATATACAAATAACATATTTGTTTATATATATTGTTTATACCTATACAATAAAGTTTAAAAAAAAATTAGTTTTTTATTAAAAAACGATTCATATAATGTTTCTTTGCAAACACCGACATGTATACTTAAAATTTTTAAATGCACTGAACTGCAATTATTTTTAATTTTTTTGGTATAGTGGCATTTGTTAAGAGCTTTTTGCGTCAAATTATCTCATTTCAACATATTGGTTGTAACATCCATTCTGTAGCTGTTTTTCTAAACGCTTTAAGAAAAAAAAAATCAGTTTAGACTTTTTTACAAAGCTAGTTTAGATGCCTAAAAACATTATTGAATAGATTTTCAAAGAGTTCTGAAAATTCATAAGAATTATTCGTTTCAAAAAACGTTTTACATAGAGTTTACAATTTTTTTTTTGCCTCCACAGCAGCACCTACTGGAGTAGCAGGACTACCTTGTTAAGTTTTTTCTTCATTAAGTTTCAGACATCTTTTTTTTACAGACCATCAAAAAACTTTTTTTTAGTAAAAACCAGTGTTCAAAGTGGAGAAAAAAAGTAACAAGATGGTTTTCGGTAAATTAAAAATACCATCCCGTCTTATCATTGTTATATATAGAGAGATTTATAAAAAGGTTGCGGGATGGTTTTTACTTTATAAAAAGGTGACGGGATGGTCTCCCGCCTCATCCCGCCTCATCCCTCTCTCATCTAAATGAATAAAAAGGCCCAGCTCCAATATGCCAAAGATCACCTAAATTGAACAAGTACTGGAAAAAATTAGCTTTCCCAGACAAATCTTAATTTAATCTTTTTGGAACTAATGGTACACATGTACCAATGCCTCCAGAAAATATGTACGGCGTCCAAGTGGCATAAGAAATAACGTTTGTTACCGAATGTATGTATGTATGTATGTATGTATGTATGTATGTATGTATGTATGTATGTATGTATGTATGTATGTATGTATGTATGTATGTATGTATGTATGTATGTATGTATGTATGTATGTATGTATGCATGTACGTAAAGCGTCAAAAATTTTTTAAACTTAATATTTTTTAAAAACAACACTCCAACAAAATAACAAAATGTTTCGCTTTTAAGAATTCTTTTTAAAAACATTTGTTAATAACATTTTTTCTTTGTTTATAGCATTTTTTTATTTATGGCAAAATTTCTTTGTTGATAATATTACTTTTGTACAACATTTTTAGAATGGAATCCGAATCAGTTAAGCAGACAAAAGATGATTTTCCACAATTCCAAGAAGAAGATGACGAGTCGGAAAACAAGCAAACCATATTTCAAAAGTTTATAAAAAATCTTAGAAAAGTAAAAAAAGACAAATGGACGCTGCTTGTTTTATTGCTTTTTAATGGTCTTTACCTGTTTTTTGGAGGGCTAGTTTTTTACTTGTTGGAAAGGCACACACTTAATTCGTCACGGAAAATAGAGCAAGTGAAAATGCTGTTTAATTTTTTTCAGGTAAATTTGTTCTTATAAAAAAAAATAATAATAATAAGTTATTACAACAAAAAAGGGTTTTAAAAAAATGATAAAATACATATTATATTAATAAATTCAAAAAAGTTATAATGTGTCTTAAAGGTTCTATTTTCAGATCATATCCATTTAGATATCCACTTAAGTAAAGATAATTTTAAAAATATATTATCTTACACAAAATAAATTTATGATTTAAAGTCTGACAAAAGTTTTGATATGTTAACTTTTTATACCTTAAAATCTCTATCAGTGACGGATCCAGGGAGGAGTGGGGATGGGGTATGCAATCTACCCCCCCACCCCCAGAATCTGAAAGTCCTAAAATATTTTAGAAATTGAGAAGCTTTTTTTTTTTTTTAAGGAGACGCAAATGTGGTACAAAATACGAAAATATTTCAACATCCACACACCCCTTCCCCCAACCTTCCTTCTTCTTACCAAAAATTCCTGGATCCGTCACTGATCACTGCAAGTCGAATTTCAAATTTAAATTTTTCAGAGCAATTTGATGAATGAAAATTTGCAATGTTAATTGAATTTTCAGCCTTTTCTTTTTTTAAAAAAGGTTTGAAAATTTTTGTCTTTTTTAATTTTCATAGTCGTATGACAAAAAAGAGGAAACTCATAAAATCTACTTTTGATAGTTTTTTTTTTTACATTTTGCTTTCTAATATCAAACAAAACAAGTTTTATTTTGTTTCGTAAAAAATAGACTAAAACAAAAAATAAATTTTTTGTGTATAAAACTGATATAAAACGAAATACTATTTCCTTGTTAAAATACGGTGCATTTAAAGTTTATCAGGCGGGTAGCCTTCTGTGAAAACTTAAAATGCAAGATAAACTTAACTGCAAGATAAACTTAAATGCAAGAGCAGCATTGCTTTTATTATTATGAATTGAAATAATTTTATTGAATTGTAATGCAATAATTCCATTGCAATAAATAATTCCTTATTACTTTCTTACTAGCGCTCTGTAAGTTTTTTTTTTTTAATTTTTTTATTTATGTGTCCCAAGAAGACCTAACGGTCTTGTCATAGAGCATCGCGAAAGTACAATTAAATAGGAAGTTCACGCCTCCTTCCTTACCGTGAAGCAAAAATATGTCTAAAGTTCATTTTGAACTTCGATCTCGTGCTTCTAAAGCAAGCGCTCTAACCACTGCGTCACGGCCGCAAGTTTTAAATAACTAACTTTTAATGACGTTAAATTGTTTGCTTTTTCCGAATTTCAATCCCACAATCACCAGCGTTTTCAGGAAATTCTTATGTTTCTGTGCAACGTTTGTCTGAATATCAATCCTAAAATCAAATATATATTTTTTTAGACGTTAAATACTTCGACAGAAACCCGACAGTCAAGCACTTTTGATACACTCAGTTCAATGGATATTCAAAAAATTGATAAAATCATTGAGAAGATTTCCAATGAACGAGAGGAATGGGAAAGAAGCGATTGGACAATACCAAAATCCGTCTTTTTTGCTTCTACGGTAGTCACCACAATAGGTAGGCATAATCAAAGTCAATGGTATATACAATGATATATTATATAAACTAGATGTTTAACTTCAATTCGAAAAGTGATGCCGCTTTTGCCCTTTTTACAAAAGACGGATTTAAATTTGTAAACTATGGTTATTCAACTTTTATTTTTTTAAATATATTACAAATATAAACATTTATGTAAAAGTGTTAAAAGAAAATAAGAATACTTGCAAAATAACAATTTATGTTTTCTAAATTTATTTCCGACTAGAAAGATTTAAATCTTCTAAATTAAATTTTGAATAGAAAAGTGAAACGACAGACGACAGACATCAAACGCTTTTGAAGCCTTTTAATGAATTATAATATTTTTTAGGCTCATAAAAAAACTTTTATAAGTATTTTATAATTATTATAACGTGTTTTTGAACTATCTTTAGCTTTTTGGGAACTTTTGATGCTCTAAACTTTCATTTTTAACCCCAAGTTAGATATCTAGTTTATACAATATATCATTGGGACTATATAATAAAAGTTAGATAATTAATTGACTTTGATTGACAGTTACTAAATTCTTTTTATAATAGTTATGTATTAGTATTAGGCATTTTTATTCAGGTTACGGAAACTTAGCACCATCCACAGCGTGGGGGCGTAGCTTTTGCGTTCTGTATGCCATAATTGGTATTCCACTAACACTCGTTTTACTTGCAATGGTGGGGAAAACACTTTCATCTAGCATAAACACTTTGTGCCGAATCATTGTGAATAATGTACAGAAATATTTATACTCCGGATACAAGTACGACAGGTGTGTTCAAAGTGTTAAATATTTTTTTAAATCATAAAATAAGAGCCAAAATGTTTTATTATCTAAAACTCTCCAATAAAGTTCACCAAAAAATCAAAAAATATCCAATAGGGTTCAGCAATATATCTAAAACTCTCCAACAAAGTTCACCAAATTATCTAAAGTTCTCCAACAAAGTTCACCAAAATATCTAATTTTATCTAAAACTCTCCAATAAAGTTCACCTAAATATCTAAAACTCATCAATAAGGTTCACCAAAGTATCTAAAACATTTCAATAAGGTTCATCAAAATATCTAAAACTCTTCAACAATGTTCACCAAAATATCTAATTTTTTCCAATAAGGTTCATCAAAGTATCTAAAACTTTCCAATTAGATTCATCAAAATATCTAAAACTCTTCAACAAGGTTCACCAAAATAGTTAACATGTAGTATAAAACACCAAGAGTAAGACTTGAAGATTTTTTTTTTATTGTTTTCAATGTGATCCTTGATGCTCATTAATTTTAACTAGTTTTTACAATATATTCTATTGAATATGTTTTGAAAACAAAATATTAAACTACAGTTAAATGTTTATTGACACACTATTATTAAACTTAGCAAACGTTTTTCAAAGTCCTTTAAAAAATTATTGGAAATATAAATCTTAAAAATCTCATTTTTAAGTTGTTTTTTTTAATTTTTTTATATAACAGAGAACCCTGTGGTAATTAATTTTCGAAAATTTCATTACAAAACAACTATTATTTTTTTAGGCATTTTATAGATTTAATTCTTTAATAGATAATTATATAATTGTATAAAATGTTTTAAAATCAAAGTTTTAGGTATAACATACTCACTTATTTCCTTTTAAGCCCCGGTATTACGTACTCACTTATATATTTGAAGATCTTTATCTTTTTATAAGACTCAAAACTTTAATTAGGAATTTTCTAATTATTTTAATTTTCTTAAACATAATAATAACATTCAAACTTATGACTAAAGATAAATAAAAACTATGACTAAAGATAAATAAAAAATTTAAAACACCCTATTCGTATGTAAACGCCCTGTCCTTATGTAATAATACAATTGATTTCTTTTTTTTTTTTACCTCAATTCAAAACACGGTTTGAATACTATTTTGTGCTTTGAGTTTTACCTTCCCCAGCGGGCATTTGTTTTTAAAAGTTACGTTCTAAATGTATTTTAAATGTCTTTTAAACGTCTTCTAAACTTTCTTACGTAAAGAACGTTTAAAAAACGTTTAAAAGAAATTTAGAACGTAACTTTTAAAAACAAATGCCTGTAGGGTCGTTTCAATTAAAATGTTGTCAGTGGCTCACAGAGAATGGTGGATCCGCGTTGGTTTTTCCGAGTATCACCATTAAGGAGCATCACAAAAAAAAATTCCATAAAGTTAATATTCTAATACTATATTGATATTAGATATAATGGTATATTATATATAACATATAGTAGTATTATTATAGCATATAATAACACTATAGTAATAAAATAAATTTCTTTTATAAAACAACAACAACAAAAAAACAAATCTGTGAAAAAATCCCTTTTCGTTAATATTAGGAATCTAAAGAAATAAAAAATATATATTTTCTAATAATTTTTATTATTATTTGTGTAACAGAAACTTGCTTGTAAAAATAGCTTGTGAATGAATTGATCGCACAGATTTTAAGCTACAAAATAGAGTATTGTTTTCTTTTACCTGGTCTACGCCTGCAAGATGTGTACGTCATTTTCTGACGTTGAACAGACTAAGCGGCGTCATTTATAGGGCTTTGGATCTGGTGAATAGCATATACGCAAAGGGACTTGAAAGTAATTTAACCCAGGTATGCATATGCCCTCATATCTTTCTTATTAAAAAACAGAGTAAGGTAGGTCATAAAATATTATTGCTTTGTGTAATTATACTAATAATGTTTAATGTACTAATAATACAAAAAAAATTATATATTTTTTTGATGGTACCAAATTATAATAGCTTATAATCTGAATATTAGAGTCTTAGTTTTTAGACTTTATCTTGTTTTATTTGAGAGCTTTATCTTTCTTTTTTTTGCTTTTTTAAATCAGCGAATATTTATATTAAACACCCTCTTGGGCTGTGCCATCTTTACACACGGTTATCACGGGCAAATGCCGGTAAGCCACTACAAAAGTCAAGGCCATTTTAAAATTATTTTTTTGAAGCTTTTTTTTCATTCAGGACTTTTTTTGTTTTATGAAAGTTATCTTAAGTCCTAATATATTATAATTATTATTTAATAGCAAAAACAGCCTGACATTATTTACATTGATCGGTTTTGAGAGATTGCGTAAGGTTCACCTACGTTTTCGGAATGTTTATTTTTATAGAAATCTTAAATCAATGTTCTTATGTATTTTTTTTTATGATATAATACTTTAAAAAAACATGGCAACTAAAGCTGTTTTATTTTCTAGGCTGTTTTAAAGCTTTTAAAACAGCCTAGAAAATAACACTGCATAATGAAATAAAATTTCATTATGCCTTTTTCTAGACCTGGAGGCCAGTGCCAGATTAAGAGATTTTGGGTTCTAAGGCTATTTTAAATTAGGGCACCCTAAACTGACATATTACCAAATGAAGAAGATAAAAAAAGGGTTCAAATGAAAAAACCTTGGAATATGGTCCCCTATCTCCGTTAAATTAGCACTGCTAGATGCCAATTTTTTATAATTGTTTCAGGTGGAGGGGGAGGGGATGGACAGCTGAAGTTAAAGATGCCCCTGCCCTTGGGTACGGATTTCTTTACTTTAGTATAAAAACTGTTACACTGAGTCATAACTTTAAATACCATGTATAATGAAAAATAAAAAGTATATTAAAATACACAAAGTATTTTGAAATATATTGTAATATGGAGTAAAGTATAATGTAATATGCAGCAAAATATATTGTAATATACAGCTATATAAATTAATGTTTGATAAAATAATGATTGAGTATATTGCTACAGTTACAGATTGAGTATATTTCTACAAAGTTACAATTAATATATTATAAATTATAAATATTTATAGCATGGAAGGAGTCACAGAGTTAAACGCTCCTGTTTGGTTAGCAATTACTTTTATCATGATATTCCTCTCACTCGATGCACTCGTTTTTATGTGTTTGGAGGATTGGTCATACTTTAAAGCACTATATTTTCTTTTTATAACACTGACGACAATAGGATTTGGTGATATTGTTCCGCAAGGTACAAAAGTAGGTGTAACTTTTTCTATCTATTTATCTATATGTCAATTCATCTAATATAAATATATATATATATATACATATATATATATATAATATATATATATATATATATATATATATATATATATATATATATATATATATATGTATATATATATATATATATATAAATATATATATATATATATATATATATATATATATATATATATATATATATATATATATATATATATATATATATATATATATATATATATATATATATATATATATATATATATATATATATATATATATATATATATATATATATATATATATATATATATAGTGCTTAGAATGAACTATTTCAACTACGTTTAGGCTATTTGGTTTCACGTCACTTTGTTATATGTTGGACTTGCTGCAGTCTCAATCACTATAAATTTGATTATTGCTAAAGTTCGAATCCAATACCACAAGCAAAAACAAAAAATAAAGTTTGTTAAAAAATTGGAAAGAAAACTTACTAAAACTTTTCCTAATGAGAATACACCTTTGACTAAAGCTATTGATAGTGATAACTAAATATTAAAGTAAATAATCATACATTTAAATATACAAACCTAATTAGAAGTATATACCTTACATTAGATTCAAAGAATATAGCGTATAAATTAGTACATAAAATAAGATGTTTCGTGATAATGAGTTAATGAGTTTGGTGATAATAGGGTGGTGGCGGGTGGTGCGTGCTGTCCTTTAATGAACCTGTTAAATTTTAGTTTGCAAACGGTTATTATGTTAATATAGTTACTTTTATTTTATTTTTTCTTAAGCATAATTTGTATTTATTTGTAAATAGACAACTTGTATTTATTTTGTATTTAAACTCTGTAAAAACCTTGAAATAATTTCAAAATGGTTTTGAAATAACCTATACAGTTAACATATATATAACCTATACAGTTAACATATATGCGTTTAATGATTATTAATACGTGGCAATTTTTTTAAAAATTACCTAAACGTTTACTTTTATTTTCTAGTTAAATTTTTTAGATTTTGACGAATGACGAATCTATACTTCGAAGTTGAAATTATTAAATTCACACTGAAATATTCTTTAAATAAGCTCTATAAATATTTTGTAAATAACTGTAATATATTTTTAGAGTTTAAAAAACAGACCACGTAATATTGAATGTTTCATTTTGATTGCATCACAGAGTAAATATAAGCAATACAATACAATAAGATTAATAAAACAATATTTTCTATGGATATCTTGGTTTATAATAAAACAATATTTTCTAAAGATATCTTGGTTTATACAATTTTAAGATGTTGACTTTATGAATGTAAATGCTTATCTCAAATCTTTTTTCAGATATAAAAGATTTTATTTTACTATTTTTTTGTCAGTAACCATTTACAATTCAAAGATAATTTCCGTCAAATAAAAAATTTAAAAAACATTAAATACAAAGACATTTTATCATATATAGCGGTTACAAGACCAGAGAACCTAAAGAAGAAAAAATCTTATCATCAGTAACCTTTAATAAATAAAAAGAGGATAAAAGTATATTGTTAGAAAAAATTAAGTAAACAATTTTTATAACTTCAATTATGATCTTTTTGAATTTTTGGCTTCTCTAAGTTTACGGCTCAGGCTTGTAAAATTGCCACGATGAGAAATGGAGAATCTTGTAAGTTTTGATATACGGAGAGGAATTTTGAAATACATACAAAAAAAAATAAATTTTTTTTTTGTATGTATGGGTTTTGAAATACATACAAAAAAAAATAAAAAAAATAAAGAGATAATATTACTGTAAGAATAAAATAAAGTGGTGTCGTCTGCAAACGTGATAGTAGACATAGTATTTTATGCTTTATATACATCGTTGACATAGGTTAAAGACCTAAGATGGAACCTTATGGAACTCCACAATACATTTTAAGTTTTTCTGTCTGAAAACTGTGATTTCAAGCTTTGTTTCGATCAGTTAAGTAACTGGTAAATCATTTATGGTAATCATGGCATACTCCATAATATTTTAGTTTTTCTAGTAAAACCTAATGATTACCAATGTCAAATGCTTTTGACGAGTCTAGGAATATACCTAAAATGAATTCATTATAAGAAGATGCTCCGTTAACCATATTGGTTGCAATAGAGAAGATTGTTTTAATTCAAAAATGCAAATAGCCTATTATACATGATATGCTTTTGAAAAAACAGGTAACACCAATATATGTCGATAATTTGTAACAAGACTTTCATCTCTTGTTTTAAAAATGTGTGTAATTATTGCAATTTTCAGAATATTTGGATAAACATCGGTTCGGAGCAAAATCTCTTAAATAAATAAATCCATAGCAATCTTTGATTATGCTCGCTGAATTAGAATCATAGCCTGTTGCTTTATTTGTGTTTAATATTTTTATCGAATCATCAAGTTCTTCAAAAGTAAGTTTTTTAAATGCTAAGTTTTTATTAGATTTCATTAGTTCAAAAAAAGTGCAGGAGTGTGTTTAGTTTTAATGTTTTTAATTTTGGACTTGTATTGACGAAAAAACTTGTTAAATTATGTTGCCACTGATTTTACATCAGAGATCTGTGTGTCGTCTACAGCAGAGGCGATTTTACAGGTGTGTGTGTTTTAGTATCCCACGTTTTTTTCACGTTACATTTCAGTTCTAATAGTTTGTTTTTGAAATATGCAGTTCTGGCTATTTTTTTAAATTTCTTTTATAAAGACGTTTCCCAGTAAGCACAGAACGTTTTTAAAACGTTTAAAAAACCTATTAAAACGGTTTTTAAGGTTTTTTAAACGTTTTAAAAACAATCTGTGCTTAATGAGTTGTATTTTAAGTAATAATGTTTGTCACACTCTTTCTTTGATTTGATAAAACCTATATACAGATTTTGTTTTCGTTTCGAAAACTTTATGATGTTATTAGAGAACCAAAGAGTTTTAAAATGGCTTGATTTTTTAGAAAAATGCTTATCGCAGAAATTAAAAAATTTCTGTTATTAGCACATGTCTTGAGAAAAACAAAGTTCTATTTTAAAAAAGACAATCCTAATTTAAACATATCTTTTCCTCGGGTAGTAACGATTCTTTTTTTTAAGTAAGAACCTTTATTTAATACATCGTTTGGTTTTTTGAAAATTGCAAAGACTTGAAAATTGTTAGTTACGTCACTTCTAATAATACCAGATTTAAAAGTGGAATAGCAAAGGCTGTTTGAGAAAATATTGTCGATTTACAGAAAAAAAGTTTTGCGTAATTCTTGTTGGTTTATTTATAACAAACATCATTCCAATTTCATAAAAGCAATCGTAAAATTGTTGCATTTTACTATTTTCACCATATACTAAACAGTTCACGTTATGATCTCAAACTAATAAAAAGATTAACAATTTGACTAAGATAATTCTACAGAAAAGCAGTTAATCCTAACTACTCACATGATCGTTATCGATGTGTTGATCATGTGGTTTGTTAACATCACGCAAATATGCTCTGGCAAAAACCTTTACCATACCCCTAACTTAATCGGATATGTCGGAGAAAAAGTCAAATTGTTGGTCATTTGTATGTGTGAATTTAGGGTCTGAGTAATACAATGAGTTTAAGTAATATATACTTTAAGTAACATAATGTTATTGTTTGAACTTAACATTGAACTTATTGAATAAACGTTTATCGTTTAATAAATGAATAAACGTTTATCGTTTTTTAATCATTTATATCTGTGTATTTACGCTTAGAGTAATATAAGAGTTCCACAAATTGTACGGACTGTGATGCATAAATAAATTTAGGCTTTCAAAAAAAGAAGTTCTGCGTACTTATGTTTACGGGTGGTTTGTACTTCGACCGCATTTTTTTAAACTTCAAAGTTTGATTATTATATAAGCTTGAATGTTATTTCTCAAAGATAAAATAGGTGAAAAAAATGCGTATAAAATTAAGCTGCAAACATGTACAAATACGTCGCACAGTGACTCAAAACAACAACAAAATGGGAATAAACCCCTCACCACTTTTTTATAAATTAAGTACCCTTTGTTAGATAATATTAAAAGACAATGATTTTTTATTTCAAAAGTAAAAATAATTTTTTCATAAAGCTTTTATTTTGTATTTTATAGGTAAAAGAAGTGAAAAAATTTAATATTATTTTTAAAGAAATCTGAAAAATGTGAGGCTTTTATTCAACTAAATTAGAGAAATAGAAATTTAAATAAAAATGTATATTTATTTTAAAAATAATTTTTAGACTCTATATATTTCAAATATACTAAAAAGATAAAAAAAAGTCTGATTTTTTCGTTTAAATATAAAGACTTCTCTAAAAAAAAGGAGATAATAATTGTATTTTTTTTGTTTATATATCAGCTAAAAAAATGTTCCACCGAGTTCCACAAATATTTATATATTTTCCAGTTAATTAACATTTCTACTTTAGGAATATATAAGGATTACTGCGGTCTCCTGCGGTATTGGAAGTTATTAAAAAAAAAAAAATGTCGATGATTTCATAAAAACCTTGTTTTCCGCCATTGTTATTATATCAAAATAAATGAAATAGGCGGGAAACTTAAATTTAAGTTTTTGCTTTTAGAACTTGTTCTAATATAGTTTTTAAATCATAAATATTAAATATAGTTTTAAAAAACGTGCTTTGTCATTATATACTATTTAGAAGTTTTTTTAAATAATTATTGACAATTTTAAAGAACGATTTATTATTCAATAAGTACAACATGTTTGAAAAAAACTTGTTGAACAACTTTAGTATTTCCTGTAATATAAAGTTAACTAAGTAATATGTGTTATTACGAGATGTAACAATGTGAAAATTGTTAAATGTTATAACAAAATAAAACTTGAAACAGTGTAAAATAAAAAAATATGTAATGTAATTTAAAATGTTTCTGATATATTAGTTTTATTATATTGATGGTTCTTAAAAACGATAACAATGAAAAGATTAGATCTTATCCGAAATATGCATGAGTTAGGAGTTGATAAATTAAAAATATGGAAGGATTTACTTAATGAAATAAAAAATACTAAAGAAGTTCGCAAAGAAAACTTGAATAAAGTAAAGCTTGCTTTAGTTATATCTATTTCAAAGGTGAAGAAAAAACCAAAACAATGTGGACGAAACTATGATACATTTATACAAAAAGAAAATCGTTGGCTTCAAAGAAATCTTATGAACAATAAAAATAGCCATTTTGGTTCTAGAAGGCCCCATAAACAATGGAGTGTTCTTGGAGAGACAAGCAAAAGAAAAAAAAATTAAAGAACTAGCCACTGAATATCATGAAGCTCTATTTTAAGCTTGTGCAAAAAGTGCAAATGCTGCAGGAGAAAAAAAAAAGCCTCTATTTTTAAAAAACAATATATCTAATGTTTTAGAGATAGAAAAAGTTGATGAAACTTTGGATAAAACCTTTCCCATTAATATGAGTGTAGAGGAAGCTTTTGCATTAGAGATGAATACTGATCTCAGCGATAAACAATATGAAATGATCAGAAACTCAGCTCTTGTACACAACGTACATATTTATCCTACCTTGCACGATATTTTTGTGAAAAAATTGAAATGCTATCCTGAGAATATACATTTTTCTGAAATTTCTGCAAAGTGTACTCTTCAAAGCATGTTAGATCACACTGTGAGTAGAATAACAGAAATGATTGATATGCCTAATTTTGGTCAAAGTGACAAAATATTTGGAGTTTTATATGGAAAGATTGGTTTTGATGGAGCATCAAGCCAAAGTATTTATAAACAGAAATACAATACAAGCAACGCAAGTATAGAACCTAAGCATGAAGAAAATCTTTTCAGTACAGCTTTTGTGCCTTTCTCACTCAATGTAGAAGATTGCGAAATTTGGAAAAATGAAAATCCTTCAAGCTGTCACTTTTGTAGACCTCTTCATCTACAATATAAAAAAGAGAGTCCAATTTTATCCAGAGA